CACGGTCCGCATTGAAGGGAGGGTGGTCCACAAAGACAACTTAAAGTGACTCACTCGCTTAATTTTAAATGGCAAAATTCCATTTAGTAGACATTAAGTCCGTTGCCAAAGGCACGATGTTTTAGTTGTAAGTTAAAATTAATTGGTGATGGGACAAACCTCAGCGAACAAGAAAAAGTGACTGAAAAATACATTTCTACAGCTGCAGAATTTGCATCCTCCTCTCACTGTCATTGGTGTCAGCGCACATCGCTAAAAAATAGTTAGAACTAACAAGGTATATCCCCATCATAGACTAAGAGATCCTGGTGTCGGAGGAGCTCGCTTATGTGACACACTTGGCAAACCTTTCGGAATACATGCGCGTAATAGAAGAAACAAGCAGCACGAACGAGATGTTTCCACAGTCTCACATGAGGAAGTTGTTAGATGTGGATACCTCGCACCTTCGGGACACGCTGGATTCGTTAAAAGTACACCACAGAATCGCAAGGAGTTAAGACTTCTGTGCTCAATGCTAAACGTACTAGCGGGGACGCCGGATGCCAGCGATCTAGAAAGAGTTAGGTTCACAGAGTGGCAGTTGATACAGTCAAACATTAGGCAAATTAAAATTAATACTAGAATACAAAGTCGAATCAACCAATTAACAACAAATCAAATTTTGCAAACACATAAAAATATCGAAATTTACACCGGCCATTTATATAAGACACTGCTAGCTAGGAATAGAATACTAATGATGGAGTTACAGAATTTAATATTGACTGTAACACAGGCGAAAGATAATATTGTCTCAAATATCCTAATCACGCAGAATTAAAATCAGTTTGGCTGAAATAACCCACAGATACCCCTATAGGGTATCTATCTAATGTAAAAATACTACAATCCTCTAATATGATACACTTCATTATCAAATTATATTGTAAGATATTCTGTCTCTCCTATTTACATCAGCTGAGTGGACGTAACTCGGAGTTCATCAAAGAAATCGCGAGAGGAATTGATACTAATCATTCACATGGCATAATATTAGTTTGGCAAATATCTCCCTTCCGCCTTTTTGTCTTTTGAATTTCGCGGCTATGTACAAGGCGCTACAGGCGGTCGTATCTGGCAATACTATACATAATTTGAAAGGTCTTGACATAACCTACAAAACGACGCTATGCATGATTAGTTTGGATATTGCGTTCAACAGTTATAGACGTGTAAACATGGAGTTCACTAACACCGAAATTCGCGCTATTTTAAAGTTTTCCTTCGTTAAAGGCAAATCCGCTAGAGAAACGTTCCACGAGATTAATGGTGTTTTGGGGGATGGTACTCTATCACTTCGAACCGCGGAGAAATGGTTTTGACGATTCAGAGCCGGTGAAAACGACACCATGGATAAGCCAGCCGGCGGAAGACCTGTGACGACAAATACCGATCAAATCATGGAATACATCGAGTTAGACCGGCATGTGGCATCTCGTGACATCGCCCAGGAGATGGGAGTTAGTCACCAAATCATTTTAAACCATCTGCAGAAGGCTGGATACAAAAAAAAGCTTGATGTTTGGGTGCCGCATGATTTGACGCAAAAAAACCTTCTGGACCGAATCAACGCCTGCGATATGCTGCTGAAACGGAACGAACTCGACCCATTCTTGAAGCGGATGGTGACTGGCGACGAAAAATGGATCACATACGACAATATCAAGCGAAAACGGTCGTGGTCGAAGGCCGGTGAATCGTCCCAAACAGTGGCCAAGCCGGGATTGCCGGCCAGGAAGGTTTTCTGTGTGTTTGGTGGGATTGGAAGGGAATCATCCACTATGAGCTGCTCCCATATGGCCAGACGATTAATTCGACCATCTACTGCGAACAACTGGACCGCTTGAAGCAGGCGATCGACCAGAAGCGTCCAGAATTGGCCAACAGGAAGGGTGTAGTGTTCCACCAGGACAACGCCATACCACACACTTCGTTGATGACTCGTCAGAAGCTACGGGAGCTCAGATGGGAGGTTTTATCGCATCCACCATATAGCCCGGACATAGCGCCAAGTGATTACCACCTGTTCCTGTCCATGGCGAATGCCCTTGGTGGTGTAAAGTTGAACTCAAAAGAGGCTTGTGAAAAGTGGCTGTCCGAGTTCTTCGCAAATAAGGAGGGGGGCTTCTACTAGGGAGGTATTATGAAGTTGCCGTCTAGATGGAAACAGATTATCGAACAAAACGGCGCATATTTGAACTAAATCCGATCACTGTAACACTTTTTATAAAGCATTGAATAAAGAGCAAAAAAAGCGGAAGGGAGATATTTGTCAACCTATTATTTATCGCAAAAGCGATTTGTTGTGCGGTTCATCGGAGCGCGAGGATCTGCTATCCAATTAAACGGGATGATCGCCGAATTAAGATCAGTCGAGGACGGCCATAATCTTGAAGGGGGAGTAGTTAACACGAGCCTACGTGGGGCCAGCATTGGGCCGGAAACCCGTGCGCAGCCGGCAAACACAGCATATTTGCGTCTTTGTTAGCTTTAAGAATTATTTTAAGTTTCAGTTTGAATTTGTATGCACCAGAATAAAGAGCAGCAGCTCGTCAAATCTTAATGCGACTGAACGTCGTAAAACATATCTCTATTACTTACTCTTCTTCCAGACCACAAGGCTGTTAGTTAAAAGAGGAGAGTTTCTCTCAACTTTTTCTGCTCCCCGGAACCCCCGGAGCAACCAGCACCCCCGGAAGGAATTTTCTGAGCTCTGAACATGGCAAATGTTATCACTTATGGCTCGACCAACAGTCATAAATTAAGGTCTGTAATGTACACACTACCAGCACTTGTAATCTGAACCTATAGAGCAGAGCACCCCTAACAAACAAAGTAATTATCAAACAACAAAGCTGATAGAACTTCAAACTCCTGGTGTGTTCCAGTGCGAAACAAGACAGACAACACAGAGAAGCTCACTACGACAGGAACTGAAATACAAGATGCGAACACTAAAGGTAGAATCGTACCAATGCTAAAACAAAGGAAAAGGCAGCTGAGCTTACCGAAAGAGAGCTGGTGTAAAGCTGAACAAGAAAAATTAAGAGATGTGAATGAGGCCATTGGAACGACCCCTTAAAATAAATGAATATCGACCTAAAAAGGCCAGCTACCACCCCGGCAGTAGGGGAGTCTAGCAATATTGAATGATTGAGAGAGAACCTGTTGTTGGACTTCAGAGTAAGAGCAGGTATATGGTGTGGGAAGTGGCAGTTCTCCACTTAAAGAAACTGCGTCAATCAGACTCACTGTCCTCTCTGTCCTATGTAATAGATACGGGGGAAAGCGACACACAATAAAAAACTGCACAACCCGCCTGCCGTAATCCAGGACAAAGTAATCTATAAGCCTGCCTTACCCCACGCACCTATCAGGGTTTCACCCTCAACGTCATTTTCATCCCGTCTTGACTTCGTTTTAAACTCTAGGATCTGCTGGAAAAAAAGCTGCAAAAGAAGAATGAAGAAAGCACTCGGGTCGTTTTACTTCCGCAAAAGAACAATCGGACGGAGATGTGGATTGCAACCGTACATCATTTACTTGATCGAAAACTAAAGAGGTGCCGGAATATTCGGACAAATTCGGAATATTCATAGACCAACGCACCGAACCCTCCTTCAGACTACTAAAGTGGTGTACCGTCTTTTAGGCGTAGAATCTTTGCAATCTTGCAGGTTGCAACGCTGATCTCAGGTTGGGAGCCTTAGCACAGCGGTCATTTTTGTGGACAATCTGTAATCATAACACTGCACAGTGGAACTAGAAAGTCTAATACACATTAAGCTAACGCTCACATACCACGTAATGAAAGAGCAGACGGTTGTGCCAGATCAGTATCCGGCCTACCGCTGTCAATGTCTATAAGGGACGTTTAAAAACCTGTACAGCACTAACCTGACGTCCCAAGCAAATGACTTTTTGCCGACTGCTCACTATATCCAAAACTATATGATCTGATTTCAGTCCCTAGAGTTTTACTCCCACAAGGGAGTTAGGTCATGACCTCTGCGGGTATCACAATGGAATATTGGATGAGCTCAACCTATTCTAGCATAAATGGTAGAGACCTTTTCCATCTTTATCTCCATTTTTTTTTACCCTAAACCCAAATTTTTAAGTCATGCTAAAATAAAAGTTATATAAAAAAAAAAATCTGTGCGTTCCGTTTGCTTATCTATGTTGATATCAGATAACGTAAAAGAAAACATGATATAATGCTATAGTCGAGTTCACGGACTATCAAATACCCGTTGTGCCCCAGCCTCCTTACAGCCCTGACTTAGCTCCGTGCGACTTTTTTTTGTTCCCCCTACTGAAGAGAGAGCTAAAGGGAAAACACTGGGAGTCGGTGGAGAACATCCAAGCTCGCGTAACAAGGTTCCTGAAAGGCATTTCTGTCGAGGAGTTTCAGGGAGTTTCAGGGTGCTTTCCAGGCGTGGAATACACGTCTCCGCAAGTGTATTGACGCAGGAGGAAGAAGAATTTTAATAATTTGTACTGATTGGATCAACAAATATATTTTTCTTAGAAAATGCGCATTACTTTCATAACGCACCCTGTATATTAAATATTATATAAATATATATATCGATATACGATTAATTCAGAATTCGAAAGTATAAAGAGGAAGGTATGTGGTCGAAACACAGTCCTCTCATAACGACAGTGTGTATAGATCCCAGAAAGACTGTACGACTTCTATGAACTTTTCAGGCACGATTAATTATATCCTAGTAATCTTAGAGAGGGAATGGCTTTCAAAGGACCCCCACATCCGGCGAGCTTAGCCGCCAGCCAAGGTGCCTGATCGACCAAAGTTCGTCGCAGGACCGGGGAACTATTATAGTGACGTAAAATCGTAAGTATATAAGATCGTTGTATTCATTTTTATGTATTTAACTGATCAGAGCAAACACAAAAATTAATTATTTTCCCGCATATTTATGAAAACTTACCTGTGGAGTAATTTCACCGAAAAGTACGATGGCCAATGTGGAAAATATAACAGCAAAGAGTCCAGAAGTCAGACCATCCAGCAGAATGGTAAACGTTGAGTTAACCAACACATTACCTAAGAGGATACTGCACAAAAGATAATTACCTTGATCACGAACAGGTGCAATCTTTGACGCATATTTTTTTTCTTTTTCCGTGCCAGTGTTCCGCAAAATCTAAAGTTTTCAGATATTAAAAGATTTAATTATATATTCCGATATTACCTTTAATTCTGTGCGGTCCATTGACATTAAACCTAAGTTAAGGCCTGAAAACAAAGCCGAAAAGCCCAAGCATGTTACAATGATGATTATGGCCAACCACACAGGTATTAACGGTTCGAATGTTTTTATTTTCAAAAAATCGGAGTTTCCTTGATGTTCCAAAGGCATCGTCGTTGCAGCCTTGCTGTGCTAAAAAACGAAAAATCGTAATTTAATCTTCTTGCCCATACAACGCTTTGTGCAGCGCACATTACAGATACTCTTAAAGTGTAAGTATTTATACTAGATTCGTTGAATTGATTTGGCCATGACCGTATGAACGAGTCTATCTTTGTTTCTATAATTTTTATCGATATAACACGCGGTTCATTTAAAAAGTTTTTAAATTTAGCTGAGTAACGGGTATCTGATAGTCGGGCAACTCGACTAAGCCGCTCTCTTGTTTTTTTTTTTATAGCTATATAAAGCATTATTATAGAGCTGTAAGAAATTCGTATGCACTCTCAAAAACAGGCACGCTCCTACTTGTTCATTCCATCTTCCTATGAAGTATGAGTAAAGGAAAGGTCTTTCTGACACAACACCTTTTTTTGTTATCAAAAGTTTCATATCAGACAGGAATTTTAATGTTACAGTTTGTGGTAAAAAGGAGTCATGACATACAATTTTAGCTAGAAATTATAAAGTAAGAACTGTTTCGGGCCGAGACGTTACTCAGTTTACAGATCAGATATTCCATATTTTTGGAGCTGTACATAAGTTGTCATAGCAACATATACCGATGACACTGTCGTATTGGTTAGGAGCCCAAGTATAGGCGTGAAAACCTTGGGACTGCAGGAGTTATAGGACAGTGAGAATAGGACAGACAAGTGGAATATAGCATCAACTGCAGCAAATATATTATTCGGAGTATGGACAATCTAAAACAATTATCCGAGAATATCTTTTCCCCCTAACCATCTTCGACGCTAAAATCAGTATACTCATACATAGGGTCCCACATAACTCGGGACTCCTACTAGGGGTACCTCAAAATATAACTGCTTGGTGAGAGTAATCCAAACAATCATTTGAGTAACAGCTTCTTGTAAATTTTGTAACAGAAGTGCTACTATGTGTGTGAAATTTTATGAATGTACCCAGTGGCTAGAGTGTATTTACAATATGTGAACATACTAATTAGTCTTCATATTGAATCCCAGGCATTTCTCAAGTGCGGAGGTATATATCCACACAAGCAATGGACAATCTTAGTGCTAAATCGGCATGTCTGGTATGTCACATAATACTATATCTCTATCGCGGAGAATAATTACCAAAATGCCCATAATACAAGACAAAAGCGGCGAACTATCTAAGCACATTTTTAATACTACGGGTCTATAAAGTACCACACATTGTCACAACGTAGATTTAAGTTTTTCACTTTCTTTTACTTTTACTTTTTACTTTGTATCCTTTAATTTGACTAACTTGGTAAATATAATGTTTTTGGTGCATGGCAGACCTAAGAGCCTAGGGAAAAGTCTAGTCCAATATTCAGGTAAATTTTTTTTTAAGTGGTTAACATAATCTCCAAATTAAGTCTTTATACAGATATCCAGCCCAGTGGAATACATTAAATAAATTTTATATTTGAAATTTTATTGCCGTTCTTACAAAATCATGAAACATCAGAGGGCAGACAGACTCTAGTGTTATGAGTGATAAAGAGCAGAAGACGTCCAAAATGTAAGGCATATCGGTAGTTATAATACATATACTCTTAATCAATAAATTTTGTAGAGAAAGTAAGAGTAAAAATCTTTTAAACGACTTTTTCCTGTGGTATGTCTGCTGCTCTATGGTTAAGCAAATTTTTACGCATCAACATCGGGACTCGGGTTAAAAGTATTTCTATATTATAATCCGTATTCCAATTCCATATTATCATCTGTACGTTTTGCGGAAGTATAAGAAGATTATACCTTCCAACCAAACTCTGAGAGGTGTCTAAAAGATTACAGATTAATGAACAATGGTTCGCTTTAGCGAAAGCGATGTGCAAGGGTCAGCGTAATGCGAGGCGGGCATGTGCGCGCTGGGGGACCGTTGAAGGCAGGAAACTCCAGTCGGCACGAGGCGCTGACCAAGCGCTCTGCTGAGTCCGCTGCCTCCAACCGAAGACTTGGCGGCCTAAATAAATTTGATTTGTCTTTAGTTCGTAACAGACCAGAATTCAGAGAAGTTGGCTCTAATAAGAGAACCATTTAATAATAAAAACGTATTTGGTTTAATTGACGCCCAACGCGCTTAAGTGTCGTAATAACGTAAAATCCGTAATAAAAATATCTAGAAATCAAGGTCTCGTAATCGGGTTTTCTTTGAAAACACTTCGGACTCGCGCCCTGCACAACAACAGTGAACAGCAACACAAAATCAAAAAAATAATACAAAAACAAAACAACGCTGCACAGGCAACAGTGAAAACCGCTGCATATCAACAGTAAACAGCTAAAACAACGACAGTCAGAAGATAAACGGAGCAACCAGCTACCGTCTTCGCTGCATTTCAATACACCAATATAACATGTAAGTGAGATCTTTATTTTCAATTTACCTCTTTTAACATCAACCAGACATGTGTGCCATTTAAAAAAAAAAGTACACATAATAAATAACGAAATAAAACAAATAAAAAGAGATTGATTGCAATTAAAAGTTCAAGTAATTTTCATTTACAAATTGTTTAAAAAAAATTAAGTAGGAAAATTAAAGTCTTTCCTAAAGTGTCCATAAGGACATCCTTCGGTAAGAGGGTGCCCAATTTAATTTTATATGTTTTATAAATTCTTTCATATTATCACCATTTTATACTTTAGTGACGTTTGTTACTCTCTATATTTTATATTTCTCGCACTTAGGTTAGGAAACTTGCTGCTCCCGTTAGTCCTACTGACAACTCCCTCCTGGACCATAAAACTAAACGAATACTCACACGCTAACCACATACCAATAATGGACGGAGACGTTACTTTATGGGACGAGTACATGGGACATACAACGAACGTTACGAGACTTTCGCGGACGAGACGAAACACGCGATGGACTTCTTCGTGAAGGAGCACATGAGACGGGTACTTGAAACGGACTTGGAACGAATAAAGACTCTTCTGGACACACTAAAGGTGCGTCACCGTCATGCTCGTAGTCTTAATTTTATAGGGACTGCTTTGAAAGCAATAGCGGGGACACCTGACTCTGACGACTGGGACCAGGTGAGGCTTAAACAGGGACAGCTAACGGACTCGGTAAACGGACAGATAGAAATAAACGACAAAATACAATTGCAATTAAACACACTGACCTCATCCATGAATTCTATTCTAAAATCAGACAACTTAGACACAGAACATTTGTACGAGACGATTTTGGCAAAAAACCGTGTTGTAATTCAAGAACTTGAAAATTTAATACTTGCAATCACCCTTTCCAATTTAAACGTAATAAGTCCAATAATCTTAAATGACGTTGACGTAAAGGAGATTGAAAGTAAACATCCAGTAACATCCATGTAAACAACATAACAAACGTTAGCGTGTCAGATATTTCAGAGGTAGCCAGCATACAGACTTTTCAAAATCAAGACCTATTGTACTTTTTAATAAAATTTCCGAAGCCTTTGTTAACTTGTAGAAAAATAAGAATATTCCCGGTACACTATGAAAATAGAATATTAGATTTCGAGGACGGTAGCGGGTTGCGGGACAGAAACCTTCGCCGTCAAGAACTGCAATGTATCAGCGGGCACCACCTTTTGCAGGAGATCGAAAGCGCCAACCTGCGCACAACAACTCATCTCTGGCATGGTCGCCCATTGCAACACCCAGCCTGGACACTTGGACCCAGTCACCATGCTCGACGAGGGAATGCTCATCACCAACGATGTATCATATCACCGACGAAAAGGGAATTAGTCGGAATATCAGAAACTTACCTGGTATCAACAATATCGGAACATCAAAGAAATAGGCCGCAGTTTCAGCCATGGCTCAAGTAAACGTTCTGAGACATCTAGAGCTGTCATCAATTCACGGAATGAGCGTTAAAAATATGCAGCACATCAACCACCATCAACCACAGCCTCAATAACCCTGGTCATCATCTTTCTTATCTACCGTCTGAAAGCCAAACGTCAACAACCGTCTAAGACCATTGAATCCGGGGACGACTTCATCTTAAGACAAGGAGGAGTTAACACAAGCAAGTCAGAGGGGTGCAACGACCCGCCGAAATGCCATCCAAGAACAGATGTGCCAACAATAACATCGACGACGCTGAGCCAGCCCAGTAACGCATTTCGCTTTAGCGAAAGCGATGTACAAGGGTCAGCGTAATGCGAGGCGGGTATGTGCGCGCTGGGTGACCGTTGAAGGCAGGAAACTCCAGACGGCACGAGGCGCTGACCAATCGCTCTGCTGAGTCCGCTGCCTCCAACCGAAGACTTGGCGGCCTAAATAAATTTCGTAACAGACCAGAATTCAGAGAAGTTGGCTCTAATAAAAGAACCATTTAATAATACAAACGTATTTGGTTTAATTTATACCAAGCATCCCCTACAGTGGGCGGTATGGTTCGTTTTGCTTATTGCTGCTTACTGGCAATTTATGTATTAAACCGAGGTTCTCGGTCTGAATGGATATTCAATTGATATTTCTTGGTGTAGAAGGCATTGCAGATTACGAATGGGGTACTCATTTATAAGCTTTGTTTCTGAATTTTTTTGTAATTGTAAAGATAGATTTTACTACGAAAATCTGATGAATATGCTAAATTTATTATTTGGTGGCTTTCTCGCACTACCTAGGGTAATGGGAATTTTATCGTTCCCTCTTTGTTAACATATTTATATTATTTTAGGAAAAGCGGTAATTTATTTATAATTTCTGTTACTACATAAGATTATTTCAAAGCTATGCAATTTATTATTTTATTTAGTCGTAAAGGAGATTCCAATGAAAGCGCTTTCGACCTGATCAAGGATTAATGTGCGACGGTGACTAATATCTATACAATTCTATTTATCTACAATACTATCTACAATTCGAAATCTGTGTTTAATTTAAACTTATTGCAAAAATTAAAAGGGTTGCATACCAAACTTTAAATTGTATGGCTTGGAGAAAAAGTGTAAATGTACCAAGATAGAACATAGATAGACAGTCCATCGTCAACCTGTTACTTAGATAGAGGGATTGCGAACAAGACATTAAAAGACATTAGACAAGACAAAAAAATATTTTTGACAAATCGGTGGAAATAGGCAAAAAAAAAAATTTTTTTAAGTGAGCGTTGCAGTTTTAGCAGTTTGTGGGCGTTAGAAATAGCGTGGCGAAAATGTTTATGGTATTCCGATAAAAATTGACAAGAGTAATAACAAAACGCACAAATATCAGAACATCTTTCCAAAGTGTAGGCGTGGCAGTTTTTGGTCGGTTTGTGGGCTTGGCAAAATGTTTTTTGCCAAACTTATAGAAATTTACCAGATATATGTACATATACAAAAATGAAAAAAAAAAAATATATGTGTATATATATATTTATATATGTATACAGTGGTGGACACTAATTTAGCACACTATGCATGGTCGATTTTCTTTTCTTATTTTTTCAGTTGTTAAAATGATTAGATCAGTAATATTTTATTGTGCGGGTAGGTTACTAAGTAGAGAAGAAGTACCGTTATTTTCACCTCTCTAGCTTTTGTCTTCTTTCTTTGCCATTCGATTTTATCCAGACACCCCCAAAATTGGCTGGACACGAATTTAGCACACTTGACAAAACAGTGTATTTTTATACAGTAATAAATGTTTTTTTTTTGATATTCTTTATGCTTATATATTTCATGAAGTCTATATGGCAACTCTCCACAGCTGCGCATCCCTTCGGTATTTCAGACCAAGCATTTTTTTTTTGTGCCCTTTAGTTCATTTAAATTGCTGGGTGTTACAAGTCCAATCTGCTTCTGAACATCCACCCGAAAATTCTCAATAGGATTGAGATTGAGGGACTGAACTGGCCCCTTCATAACGTCAATATTGCTATCCTGAAGGCAGCTCTTCACTAGTCGTGAAGTGTGCTTAGGATCGTTATCGTGCATAAAACGCCAGAGTAACGGTAGATTATCAGCCGCATCAGAGATTATTTTTTTATAGACTTGTTGGTCCATCCGTTTATTCATCTTGTGTACTGCACCCACACCATGCCTAGAAAATGCTGCCCACACCATTAAATTTCCTCCACCATGCTTGACCGTCTTTATGGTGTATCGTGGATGGTGTTGCATGCTCGGAGGACGCCAAACATATTTTTTTCGTCGGATCCAAATTGACAATACTTGAATTCATCGCTCCAAAGCAAAAAATTAAAAAAATCAGAGGCTTTATATTTGCCTTTATATTTTTTTTTTTGTGCTATATATATTTTTGTTGTGCTATACATCCACGTCGATTTTTTTTTCATTAGGACGTCTCCTTATCGTCCTGGAAGACACATTTACTCCTTGGGTTAATGCAATTTCATTTCTAATCGCCCTTAAAAATATGAAGGGATTTTAAACCGAAGTTTTTTATATTTACCGAATATAATAAAGCACAATTAATTAATTAAAGATCGAAAAAATTCACTTGCTTTCAATAACTGTCCAGTCAATTTTGGGGGTGTCTGGATAAAACTTAGTAGCCTACCCGCACAATAAAATATTACTGATCTAATCATTTTAACAACTAAAAAAAATAAGAAAAGAAAATCGACCATGCATAGTGTGCTAAATTAGTGTCCACCACCTTATATATATATATATAAATACTTTTATATAATATATATATATATATATAATATAAAATAGTATATATTGTATATATATATATAATATTAAATAGTATATATATATATAATATATGTTTCTAAAGATAACATTATATATATATATATATATATATATATAATATATATATTATATATATAATATAAAATAGTATATATATATGTTTCTAAAGATAACATTATTGTTGGCCTGGCAGTTCAAGTTTTTAAGCAAATCTATAAGAATTTATAATAAAACAAAAATTATATACCCCACAACATTTTTTAAAAGTGTGGACGTGGCAGTTTTTGTCGGTTTGTGGGCGTTAGAGCACGCGCAGCAACATTTGGAAATAAATTTGCGTTGCGTCTATGTCTCTGGAAGCTTAATCTCAATATTCTAGCTTTTGTAGTTCCTGAGATCGAGGCGTTCATACGGACAGACGAACATGGCCAGATCGACTTGGACATTGATCCTGATCAAGAATATATATACTTTATGTAATAGGACACGGTTTTTTCTGCCTGTTACATAATTTTCAACGAATCTAGTATTTCCATTTACTCTGCAAGGGTATATATGTATATTTCCTTATACTGCAAGGGTATATGTATAAGCTAACTTTCTTTTTTTATTAAACATAACGCAATCAGAGTTCCACACCACCTTATAGAAAAATAAACTTAAAAACTTACATTTGTTGTTTTCTCAGCTGTTTTGGCACAAATAAAAAATTCATTTATAAATGATGGAAACTTTACTGAGTACAGTGCTGAAAATCCATCGCTGGATACTTCTATCGGTGTGAACAGATCAGTAGCTGGCTTTAGACAGGGACCGCCATAATCGTTTTTTTCATTTGTAAACGTTATAGCTGTATTTTCTTCTAATCCGCTACCAAACACTCGAAAATGTTCTTCCTTGTCTACTAACACAGTTGGTATTCCGTTTTCAGTTTCTACTGTTTCGTCTTCCAAACGAATTCCAACTATCCGAAAAGAATTTGTAATGGTTCGCTGTGTCCGTGAACTGAAAAATTTAATTTATATTTTAAGTTGTTAATATATGCTTACTAGTATTGTTAAAACTAAATAATGTCAAACAAATAACGTAATAAAAAATCAGAAACAAGATTAAGCCATTTAAACTAGATTTATTTTTGAGAGTGATTTTGATTTTAAATATATTAAAACTGAAAGTTTAAAATACAAACGGGGTGTTATTGAAACCAATTAAGTTTTCGTTTACATTGCCAGATTTGTACTGTTATTGATTTGATTATTGGTCGATATATTCTAGTTTTAATAAATTATAATGATCAGGAGTACCGAATATACATTGTATCTTTTTCAAAAATTGTATGGTTTGTATTCGGTATCTGGATTTTCACATCTGTTGTGCTTATTATTTATTTAAAGAGTTTTGGTTAGAAGCTTGTACTGTTAATATATTATTAAGTTTTTAGCACTTGTTGTCAATTATTTCTGCTCTGCACACGTGAACAGTAAATGTAAGACGACCCAAATGACATCTCTGTACAAAATTGTTGCATTAGCAGTTGGTTAGCGTCTGGCATATCTTAATCCCTCTCTGAATTGCTTGAGCCGTAACGGACAACATGTGATACCGTTTTCTCATATTTTTCTATCTTTAAGAAATATTCTTTATTATTTATATTTACAACCGTTTATTATAAGTTATTTTTTATTACTTCTTTGTTATAATAGTTTCTGCTACCAAATATAATGTCATAAGTTTTCTCTAGCATAAAACCCTTATTTTTTTTGGTTTTCTTCGCACACAGCTTCTTAAGCTTAAAAACCTGTGCTGTGTGGCTTAATATTAGTTTGGCAAATATCTCCCTTCCGCCTTTTTGTCTGTTGAATTTCGCGGCTATGTACAAAGCGCTACAGATCGTATCTGACAATACTATACATAATTTGAAAGGTCTTGACATAACCTAGAAAACGACGCTATGCATGATTAGTTAGGATATTGCGTTCAACAGTTATAGACGTGTAAACATGGAGTTCACTAACGCCGAAATTCGCGCTATTTTAAAGTTTTCCTTCGTTAAAGGCAAATCCGCCAGAGAAACGTTCCGTGTGGTTAATGGTGTTTTGGGGGATGGTACTCTATCACTTCGAACCGCGGAGGAATGGTTTCGACGATTCAGAGCCGGTGAAAACGACACCATGGATAAGCCAGCCGGCGGAAGACCTGTGACGACAAATACCGATCAAATCATGGAATACATCGAGTTAGACCGGCATGTGGCATCTCGTGACATCGCCCAGGAGATGGGAGTTAGTCATCAAACCATTTTAAACCATCTGCAGAAGGCTGGATACAAAAAAAAGCTTGATGTTTGGGTGCCGCATGATTTGACGCAAAAAAACCTTCTGGACCGAATCAACGCCTGCGATATGCTGCTGAAACGGAACGAACTCGACCCATTCTTGAAGCGGATGGTGACTGGCGACGAAAAATGGATCACATACGACAATATCAAGCGAAAACGGTTGTGGTCGAAGGCCGGTGAATCGTCCCAAACAGTGGCCAAGCCGGGATTGACGGCCAGGAAGGTTTTCTGTGTGTTTGGTGGGATTGGAAGGGAATCATCCACTATGAGCTGCTCCCATATGGCCAGACGCTTAATTCTACCATCTACTGCGAACAACTGGACCGCTTGAAGCAGGCGATCGACCAGAAGCGTCCAGAATTGGCCAACAGGAAGGGTGTAGTGTTCCACCAGGACAACGCCAGACCACACACTTCGTTGATGACTCGTCAGAAGCTAAGGGAGATCGGATGGGAGGTTTTATCGCATCCACCATATAGCCCGGACATAGCGCCAAGTGATTACCACCTGTTCCTGTCCATGGCGAATGCCCTTGGTGGTGTAAAGTTGAACTCAAAAGAGGCTTGTGAAAAGTGGCTGTCCGAGTTCTTCGCAAATAAGGAGGGGGGCTTCTACGAGGGAGGTATTATGAAGTTGCCATCTAGATGGAAACAGATTATCGAACAAAACGGCGCATATTTGAACTAAATCCGATCACTGTAACACTTTTTATAAGGCATTGAATAAAGAGCAAAAAAGCGGAAGGGAGATATTTTCCAACATATTAAATGTGTATAAATAAACAAAACACGCTTTCTAAACTTAACTACCATAGTATTTAAAAAAGAGACAACGCTACACTCTCCCCTTATATTGGATAACTGCTACCTAGATAACTAGCGTAAAAGATCGAGTGTTTGCGAGATAGGTTAGGGCGTCACTTTGCGTTTACATTTATAGCTTAGCTTGACCAAAGACACTGGAATAATAAGATGCGTAACGCCATACGATTTTTTTGCACACAATTTTTTCGGGCTGGCTCTAGAGCTGGCTCCAGGCTCTCTCGAATTTTTGTTTAAGAGCCAGAGAGAGAGAGCGCTCTAGAGCCAGCAGCTCTCTTTTACGCATACAGCGACAGCCGAGCACTGTATGTGTGCACACGTGTGCTCATATATTGTAAATTTGACAAGATATGCCCTTCACTTCAGAAGTTTATGGACTTTCAATCTATAATATTTGTACTCTGGCAATCGAGTACAAAGTACTCGTAAGTAAAAAGTAAAAACTCTAATTTTGCATTGCCTTAACATGATAATTATTAAATTACATCATAGAAATAGTAATAGGTGAATACATGTATTGTAATAATGTAATGTAATGTAATAATATCGAATTATTTAAAAAAATAAGAAAAAAAATTTAATAAATAATAAAAAACAACGGTGTATAAAACAATTTAATGTAGAGCAATGCCTTAAGTACACAAATGAAAGTAGCGATTTCTCATTATGGTTTCACTCAAATGACTGTTATGTGCATAAAATTGATATTTTAAACAAACTTATAAAAGTTTTACTTTTAAGCATTGCAAGTGGACTGTGACAGCTGATAAACAAAAAAAGCTAGCATGACTCTATTTCTATCATTCATAAATGAAAAATTAGTGACGACTAAAAATAAATATATACATAATATATAAATATATAGCACAAAAATTTAATAAAATTAATTTTAAAAAAAAGAAGCAAATTATATCAAAAAGCAATAGTTAGAAAACAAACTTAGTTGGGGAACATGGAAATATTTTAATGTTTAACATTTATTATTTCAAGTATACTCGAAGGTCATATAAATATACGACCCCATTACAATTGTAATGTCCTCCCCGTGGTGGGTACCAAATAATACATATATTACAGGTAATTAATAATATAAACATTTATATGTAAACGGTAGCTAATTTATCTAAAGAATATTAAAAAAACTTCTTAAAAAAAAATAATAGTCACGGCATAAATTTTTAAATAATATTTAGCTCATATTACAACGAAATTGAATAAAACATTAATCAAATTCGTTTCTTAGATCAAAATTGATTTCGGACCGAAAATCGTCTTCTAGCACAACTACGCACACTTTTTTGTTTAATTCACACAAGCAAGTGAAATCTATTTTTAGATATTTATGCTCTCAATTTTATGCGAGCGGGAAGAGAGCAATTACTGCCGCCGTATGTATAGCCGTTACGCATCTTATTATTCTAGTGTCTTTGGCTTGACCATGGTATGCCTTAAAATCTTAAGAAACTGCATAACATTAAGGTAATATCGAGTTATTTTAGTCCACAAGTTTCCAACGGGCTCACCATACCATACGTTCCCTATGCTAGTTTCCGATTGTTGCTTTATATTACTTGCTCGTGCATTCCGATGAAATCTAAATTTCGTGATTATTTTTAATAGTTTTTAATTACTATTACTATTACTATTACTATCCAGCAACAAGCTGTCCGAATGAAATCAATTTGTTCTTCTAGAAGATTTGCTTTACATATCGTTGTCGCAATTACCTAGTCGTATATTTAAAATTCACTGTCTCGCTCGCTAAACTTATGTTTTGTGATTACTCTGCAGAGCGTTTAATCAGCGCTTACTTTGTATGAAAACTAGAGATGATTTTAGCATTGGCATGTCCTGGCGATTCATCAGTAAGACAAACTATCACAAAAATCATACTAAAACTGCGCAAGATCACCACTATTTTTGTACATTTTAACTGGCACATCATCGGTAAATTCATCACTCTTTAGTCATAAAATACCCACTAATTTTTCGAAGAGAGAAATTTCCATATTTTTTGTATTACACATTTTCTGGCTTTTCAGGAACCATTTTCATCAAACGTTCACTAAAATATCATCCACATATCGGACTACAAATTCATAAAATTTTTGTACTACAAATTTTTATTTTTAATTTGATTTAAAAATTCCGGAATGCTGGACGTCTTCTTATTCTACGGAGTTTGGGGCCAGCTTCTTTTCAGTTGAGTTGAAATATGGGACCACAAGTCACCTTCAAAGTACAAATTATTAGAATAACATAGAAAAAATGTATTATAACAATTTATCTTAGTTGTATTTGTTGTAGTTTATAAAATTTATCAATTACCTAGAATAATTAATGAATTAAATTCGAAATACTTACCATTTCCTTAAAAACTGGCAATTAACAAAATTCGCGAGTGAAAATGAGAATAACATATTGAATATTGCATCTGTTTGTACGATCCTAATCCGATACTACGTTCAAAACGTAAGTTAAAAAAAAAATTTTCAAAGGTGTGGGCGTTACATTTATTGCCATGTTGTAAGCGTGACATTTTTGGGCGTCACAAGAATCTACACTAGTCAGCATAAGTATTTTGAGTAAATTGTCTGCTTCTTTTGAAACTCGCTCGCGCTTGACGCGAACGTTGCGAAGACGATTAGCAAAGTAAAGAACAAATGTTTAGCACACAGAAAGCCAATTTTTATACGGCTTACCCATTGCATTCTCTTTCTACTTAGAAGACAAGCTTATTTAGTAAATGGTATCCTGCTTTTGAGCGAGCACTTTTAAATCAACAATTGTTTAAATTTCACTTTTATGGATATTAAACGTTATTAAAACCAAAAAAATAATTGATG